ATTTTGGAAATGTACATCCATTTTTTCCCCTTTAAATTTTTTGGGGGGCCGCAAGAGAGCTATAGCTTGTTTAGCTTATATGTAAATCTGGCACTGAATAAGAATGTACCAGATGGGCCATTGGCCTGACCTAGCAGAGCTCTTGTTAAGCTCTTATGGATGATAAAATCTCCCACCAAGGCCCTCCTTGGAGAAAATCTCCTATCAGAGATCAGAAGGTTGGGGACAGCAATGAAGAGACTTCTTGTTTTTTGTAGGACACCTTCCCTACCCCCCAAAAGATCACACCTGCTGCCCACTTTTTGGGATTGTTTAGGCACCAAGTTAAATGCTTGTCCCCATTTGGCATTTTAAAGTTTCGTGTTTTAAGCAATAGTTTGCTAGGAAATTTTTCCACTTGGCCATTTTATTGGTTTGCTGATTTATTTATTTTTATTTTTTAAAAAAAGATATATTCAGTGCTTTTATCTGGGGGGATACAGGGGGACGCATACCCCTAAACATTTTGTGAATCTAAGTTTGGCCTCATTGAGGGGCAGCATTTCAATATCAGTAGGAAAATGAGAGTACCCCTAAACATTTTTTTTAATAGAAAAAAAGCACTGGGTATATTGTATATTTACATGCTTTTCAGGAAACGTGTGTTACAGGGTGGCATTTTAATAATGTAAATAAATGAAAGGTTTGATTGTTGTAATTGTTGTTTGTGTGTTTTTTAAAATCGTGCTGTAAACTGCCTTGGGATAACATTTTATGAAGGAAGATACACACACAATATATATATATATATATATATATATATATATATATATATACACGAACATACTGCCTTCTCCTCTGTTCCTAGTTGAGATGCTTTGGGTGGGGAGTGCCTCGGGAAAGAAGAAAGGAGGAGGCAGTGGGCTTCAACATCACAACCCGCATGTTTTATGTGTTGTGGAGGGAGATGGGATTGTTCATTTCCTGGACTGGAGTGTGAGGCAGCAAAATTAGGTGCAGTTCAGGTGCAGAAAAAGACATATCACAACAGGTCCCCTTTACCCAGGGAGATGAAAGCAGACGCATCAGCTGAGACTTTTTGCAACAAGGAAAGTGGCAGGGAAATGCAGTACAGAGTAACACTTGCTTTTATGCCATGTCCTCTACTCTCCCTGCAAACAAATCGGGATGAACACTCAAGGAACAGGTTGACTGGAAACTACCTTGATCTCTTCTTCTTTTGCCTAAAAATCCCCAGTTCCTTCCATCTCTCAAATGACCTCACCCATCTTTGTTTCCTGCCTCTGAACACATTCTTGTTTGACTATGGGCTCATCCAGACTTTTGCTTGTTCCGCCGCTTTCCCCTAGGAAAACCTGCTCTTCAGCGCTGAATCAGAGCAAGCGTCATCCAGGTTTTCCGCAGATTGAAGTTTGCTCCGATTCAGCGCTAAAGACCGAGTTTTCCCAGAGAAAGCAGCAGGGCACACAGAAAACCGCTTGGACCCATGCCTTGAAAGCGCAAGACAAGCGTATCCCTATATCCTTTTTAAAGAGCAATGCCCAGCTTAAAATTGCCTTAGTTTCCTTTGCAGCAGGAGCATGCTGCTGACTTATGTTCACTTTGTGATTGACTAGCATCTAGAGATTTTTTTTATCCTGAACATATGCATATTTTTCTGCCAACTTTGCATTTGTCTCTGTTGAATTGCATTTTGCCCCAACCCCACTTTTCCATTATATCGAGGCCACTTTGAACTGTATTCCTGTTGTGGTGCTAGCTACCCTCCCAACTGGATGTCAGCTGCAGATTTGCTAAGAATTCCTTCTACCTTTTCATTTAAGTCATGATAAAAATGCTGCAGAGTACTGGGCCCAGGACAGAAACTCACAGCAACCCATTTAACCCAGTTGCCCAGCCACCTGAAGACATCATCATCTAGCTTATGTTAAACCAGTTCGTGAAGCAAAATATCATGGAGAACTTTGTCAGATGCTTTGCTGAAATCAAGATAAATTACATCCACAGCATTTTCACAACCCCTAAGCTAGTAACCCAATTTAGAAAAGGGGTGGGGGGAAGAGTGAGAGTGAGAAAGAAAGATAAGATTAGTCTGGCAGGATTTATTCTCCACAAATCTGTGCTGGCTTCTACTAATCACTCCATTATTATCAATTAATATTTTATTGTTTTAGCTTGGTGGTTTTTATTGCCTGTTTTATTGATTGAATATTTTGCATTATTATGTTTCGTACTAGCCATAAGCCACTCTGAATCATTCCATGTGCACACATGTGAGCCAGAAATAAAATAAAATAAAAATAGCCGCCCGTGTATCCCCCTCATGTTAACAGTGTTCACCACAAGAACTTACGGGGGAGGGGGAAGCGTAGCTTAATGGGTGGGTATCCCTGTTTCTGTAACATGAGCAATACTTCTCAGCATCGCAGGATACCAACCCACAGTGCCACAGCTGGAGGAAGTTCAAGCGTTGCCAGCAGCTGGCTGCAACAGCGCATGGCAATAGCCAAGGTGGCCAAATCTGTACAAACGAGTTCCTTCAGTCTGACATAAGGTTAACTGCTGCTCCATTTGAGGTGGCCACTTACACATCACAAAAAAGGGACAGGAGATTTGCATCAAATCTGCATGTGCTAAAGCAGTAGCCTTTGCCCTTTCCTGATCCAGGACCCACCTTCAACCCAAGAACACATTTGGGGAGCTCTTTCTTTCTTTCTTTCTTTCTTTCTTTCTTTCTTTCTTTCTAACCAGTAGTGTTGTTGGGATGCACTCAGGAAAATGGATCATATGGTGTGTGTATTTTACTGGTACTTGCATAGCCTGCATTCAGACAACCATATATTGGCTTATTAAGTTGAGATATGCACAAACCTTTTGCTCATATATGAAACCTCGTTCTCTCCTCCCTTTGGTCCAAGCAGCAGTTAAACCAGGAAGCTTCTAATTAAACACTTGCTGCTCAGTCCACACCCGTGTGTCATGGTCTCCAAAGTCAGGCTCTCGCACTACCCTGAGGAAGATGTAAGGGAACAGGAATAACAGGCTGTTCCACACAGGGGGAAGGGACTCAGCTCCCCACCCCCTGTGACCTGCTGGCATATGGATGTAGTTCTTCCCCCTTCCTCAGACTTGAAGGCCAGGCCACAGATAGCATCCTCATTTCCTCCACAGGGCAGACGTTTGTGCCTGAAACACCCAGAAAGGGGTATTTTAAGTTAGCACAGCCAACTCCACAGGTAGTTGGGGCCAGCTATAGTATAGGCCTTGCCAGCCTACATAAGGCCTCAGATGGCTCCAGCTCTCTGCTGAAACAACATATTCCATAGCTCAGCAAGTAGAGCCTTGCTCCCCCCTCTCTGGAAGAGGCTCAGTTTATCGCTTCTTCCCAGGCTTGATCCAAAACGGGTAACTACAATTTCATGGTTCGGATTAATCAAGAAACTATGGTTAATTAGAGGCTTCCTAATTTAATTGTGACTTATGCAATGTAAGGAATGATGGGAAGGGTCTTAATGTTCAAACAAATGCCCAGTGCATATCTTGGCTTAATAAACCAAAATATTATAAACTGAACCAGCTCATAATGTGGAACGGGTCCTCAATGCTTTGTGGACCATGTTTGTGTGAGAAATATTCTGCATGTGCTTCACCATGTTCATGTGATGCTCTGTACTTTTCTGTCCCTGCCTACTTTCGCCAGTTACAGAAACTCTGGGTTCTGTTTCATTTTATTGCTTTTAGTCATGTGAACACGATTTTTAGCTCCTGCCTTGGGGGCCTGTCTGAGCAGGTGAGGCAAGAGGCCAGTGCCGGGAGAGAGGGGCAAGTAAGGACAGGAGTGCAGACATGGAAAGGTAACGGTGAGGCCACCTGGAACCTTCCCTGCCCTGAAATCCCCTCACAGCCAGAGTCAGGAGGGAGCCATCAATCAAAATGCCTCCCCTGGCCTGGCTCAAGCTCCTAAGCCCACATATTTTTGCCTTTTTTAGACAAGCCTTGTATATTAGACATTTCACCCTTTCAAAAGGTTCTGCACACATACAAAAATTCACCCTGCTTACTTTGGCACCGGCAGGCGTGGAGAACAGCTGCCCAGGCTCCTGGGAGAGATGCAGGAAAGGAGAACTGCACACACACACACACACACACACACACACCCCACACACACCTCCAACACCTCCTGCCCCCAATTCCACGGACGATGCTTCTGTGGGCGAGGGAAGATTCCTGCCCTGCATTCATCAGCGCCGAATGGGATGGAGGCTGCAGTCTTGCTCTGCGAAGGAGCTTCATTAAAACAAGGCGGCAGCAGTAATTAAGGCTCGGTTCAGCAGAGCTGAGGAGCCAGTGCCGGCTCCATGAAGGACTGCGTAGGCACTGGTGGCTGGACCAGAAGAGCGAGTGCAGAGGTGGGAGTGACTAGGACAGCAGGCTTAATTAGTGGAAGGGAAGGAGCTAATTTGCGCTTTGCACTGCATCCCTGGTACCAAGAGACCCGATGTTCCGGCCCTTAAAGGCAGCACTTGGAGATGCACTTACCCCCTGGGGACTTTGCATTCCCAGTGCCGTGACACAATTATTTTTTATTTGTGTGGGCTTTGTTGGCGGGTTCCTGCTTGGGAGCCATATAGCGACTCTGGGAATAGAGAGAGAGAGAGACTCTCTTTCAGAATAAGCACCCACACTTAGCTCCCACAGCACCCTCTAGCAGTTTGCCGCTTGCTGTTAGCTGCCACGCAGACAAACACAGGGACCAATGACCAGCCTCACTCCCATGAACTTTGCGGGATGTGAAGCAGCAGCCGTGCACGGAGCAATGAAAAGGAAATCTCCTGCGGTTTTCAAGTTCGGTGCGGACTACTTCCAATTCCCGAGAAACCGCTCAGAGCTTTTCAATCACGCACCAGGAGGCAATGTGACCTTCTCCTCTGAATAGTTCATTGCTCTGTGATGCTACTTAGCCATAGAAGAGGGCAGCTGTGTGAGAAAGAACATGGGGAAGGGTCGTAGCTCAGTGGTAGAGCACTGGCTTAAAGAAAGTACCAGGTTCAATCCCTGGAGTCTCCGCATAGGGCTGAATATGTTCCCTGCTTGAAATGCTGGACAGCAGCTGCCAGTCAGCGCAGACTATGTTAGATGGACCAATAGTCTGAAGGCTCATCCAGACTGAATTCCACCCGCCCTGCCCCTCACCCCGTGCTTTCTCTGTGAAAACCCACTCTTTCCAGCTGAATTGGAGCAAGCAGAAATCTGCATGAAATCCAAATTGCTATTTGTTCTGATTCAGCTTTAAAGAGCGGGTTTTCATGGGGAAATCGCCAGCAAGGGGTGGGGGGAGCACTCAGACACAGTGCTATAAAGTGCAAACCTGTGCCTAGAAAGCATGGGGCAAAAGTTAAGTGTGGAAGAGCCCTGTCTCGGTTGAAAGCAGCTTCCTCTGTTCCCATGCAGAGAGGAAAATGGAGCAGGAGGGAAACTGGATAAAGTCAAATTGGGACACACACTCAAATGGCAAGCTTGCAGCAGACATGGTCCAGCACCTCTGTGCTGGAGCGTAGATGATATTATAGATGAGGTGTGTGTGTTTTTTAAAGCAGCAAAATAATTGAATTTTGACTTTTTAAAATGTTGGGTGTTTGCAGGCTGGGCTTTTGACATTTGAAATTGAAGGGATGCTTTAAAAAACCGCTTTCATAAATTTAAGGGTCTTGCTAAATTAAGCGCTTTACTTTTTGTTGCTGCTGCTGTCGTTTTAAACAATCATAACACAGCAGCATGTACAACTGGGATTGGCAAAAAAACAAAAACAAAACCAACACATGGGAGGATATAAATTCAAGTTTTTACAGTGTTTCAGAATTTGCCTGAGTTTTAAATAAAATTCATTTCGGCTCTGTTTTGGAACTTTTTTTGCAAAGAAGCCCTCCATGCCTGAAAAGGACCCTGCAGCATAACTGGTCAAAATCCAGCTCTGCTGAGGAAAGAAAGAGCCATAGTTCCCCTCACAGCCATGCTCATACTGTAGCCAATAATGCTAAACAGAAAGGCCCAACACAGCCCCAACATATCTATCACCACTTCTCCGGGACACACGATCTCTGGAGCCAAACAAGCACTTTGAATAAAAGGAGCCAAAACTGAAATGCAGCTAAAAGCAAACAGGAAGAAGTCAGGATCAAAGCAAGACTTCGCTCTCAAAGAATTGCTCTTGCAAGGCTAAAAAGGCCTGCTCTGGAAGTGGTGGCCTCATTTCTTGGCAGTGGTACCAGGATGCGGCCTGGCAAGACTGGTCCATTAGGGCAGGAGGGGCACGGTCCCCACTAGCCGCAGTCTGCCCTCAGCTGACCCCATCTGCCATTGACATGCTGCCTGAGGCTGATGGGTGTTGGAGTCCAACAATGTCTGGTAACCACGGGAGAACTGTCAACCGCTAGTGAGGCAACACAAAATGGTTTGATGGTTCCCGTCTTTTCTTGCTTTGAGTGTCCTTCTCCATTAGAAGCAGCTAGCCAGCCAGCCAGGAGATGCAGAAGCAATGGTTGCATGCAGTTTGGTCAGAGGAATGGCCAGAAGATGCCACTTGGACCCCAAGCCAACCACACTGAGAGTGTCAAAAGATTCTCCATGTGTCTTCAGGGTGCAGCCCAAGGATGCTACACCAATGCTACAAAGTTGGGACCTTTGGGAGCCTTCTTGCCGTTGGGCAGACTGGGCTGTTGCATGCAGTTAGTGAGGGTAGCAGCAGGTCTGGGCTGCTTTTTGTTCATTGAATTCAAGCAGGTGCACATTCTAGTGGCTCCTACGGACTCTGGTTCCCTTGAATCTCCTAAACCAACAATTAGCAGCAATATTGCCCACAGTAGTCCTGAACACCATGCAACATTCCTTTTGCCAAATATCCCATTGAGTCACAGCCTTGGCCCAGGGTAGGGATGGGCAAAATTTCAAATTTGGTTTCTTTTGCCTTCTCAGTTTTCCAATATTTTTAGTTTGTGATAGAGAAATTTTGGAGGGTATGGAGCAGGGGTAGGCAACCTAAGGCCCAGAGGCCAGATCCGGCCCAAACGCCTTCTAAATCCAGCCTGCAGATGGTTTAGGAATCAGCGTGTTTTTACATGAGTAGAATGTGTCCTTTTATTTAAAATGCATCTCTAAGTTATTTGTAGGGCCTGCCTGGTGTTTTTACATGAGTAGAATGTGTGCTTTTATTTAAAATGCATCTCTGGGTTATTTGTGGGGCATAGGAATTCGTTCATTTTTTTCCCCTCCAAAATATAGTCCGGCCCACCACATGGCTGAAAAAGGCTGCTGACCCCTGGTATGGAGTTATCTGACCCCTGAGCCATCTGAAGGAAATCCTGTATAGGGAAGTTTTTTTAATGTTTAATGTTTTATTATGTTTTTATATGTGTTGGAAGCTGCCCAGAGTGGCTGGGTCAACCCAGTAAGATCTGTGAGGTATAAATAGCGAAATTATCATTATAGAATGGGCCGTCCCTATTTTCATCAGAGAAATGTTGGAGGGTATGTCTATGCAACTGAGCTTGTTTTGTAAAGTGTGAATTAAGTAGAGGCTCATCTACACTTCCACTTGCCTAGAAAGCACAGTTCCGAGTGGTTTTTCCCTTGCCCCACTCCTTTCCCAGGGAAAACCCACTCTTTAGTGCTAAATTGGAGCAAACATCAATCCAGAGAAAACCCAAATTGCTGTTTGCTCCAACTGAGTGCTAAAGAGAGTTTTTTCCCAGGGTAAAGCAGCCAAAAGGACAAAAGGAAGTGTGGATGACACCTAGGTTCACCTGTAAGTATGAACTATATCTATGTTCTCTCCCATCCCGACCTCAAGGCAATGCTTCCTTGGGAGAGAGATAGTATATTTTCCAATCATCAAACTGCCGTGTTTGGCCACTAAGAACCTGGGAGCTCACCAGATTGCAAAAGCCACTTGAGGCTTGAGTGCTTATGTGGAATATGAATGGGCAACCACCTGCGGCATGACAGGTGGCTAGTGACTCAGTTCTCCCTCTCAGCATCTCCACGCCACCTCGCAACCTTTATTTCGCCACTGTCACGGGTGTGTTTCTGACTCTTTTTAATGCTCCAGAGGCAAAACACACTTCCGCAGGACCACTCAAATGTGGGAGTGATCGGCTAGCCTATTAAGACAAACAACAATGCACAAGGACAAGGCTGTCCTCTCCTCTGCAACTATGCCTTCCCCTTTTGCAAAGCTTTGCCTTTGCTTTTGCCTTCCAAAACTATGCCTTCCCCTTTTGCAAAGCTTTTTCTTCCGCGCAGCCGCCACCCTTGAGAAGAAAATGATGTGCTTTTAATCAGGGCATATCCCTCTGCCATTCCGTATCATGCATTTCCCCAGTTTGGAAAAAGAAAAATTGGCTCCAAATTGGACTTTAAGTGCAGCTTGTGCAAACACGCACACACATTGATGGGTGTGGTTATGTGTTCCAATGCCCAACACAGAGCCCGGCACGTGTACACTGATTATTATTATCTATTATTATTTATATACCGCCTGTCCTCTAGAACTGGGACTCAAGGTGGCTAATGAAAAATTTAAACGAACATGGATAAAACACCAAAAGCTAAAAACATGTAGAAGATAATAGTGAAAAATTAACTGAACTCCAATAGAATTAAAACGATAGAAAACAAATCTAGAAGGGGAAAAAAAGTGTAACACTATTGAAAACTTCCTTAAAAACAATCAGTTCCCCAAAGCCTGTTGGAATAAAACAGTCTTCCCCTGCCAGTGCAAGGACAACAAAGAGGGAGCAAGTTTAGCTGCTCTAGGAAGAGAGTCCCAAAGTCTGCGAGAAGCCACCTTAATGAGTGTGTGTCAATCAATCAATCCGTCTTTATTGTTGCAACCACAGATCAGCCACGAAATTACAATTCAACAGATGCAACTTTGCAGTGTACAGGCCAGCAAAGGACGACTTGGGATTAGCAGCATAGATGAGCAGCATGGCAAAGAGCTGTGTGTGGGTGTGTGGGTGTGTGGTGTCACACAATCACACTTAGGATGTTCTGGTTCCTAGTACTGCATACTGATGCACTGGTTTTTGCCACTTCAGTGGTGATTTTGTTAGTGGGATCTGACAAAAGGAAGGAGTGTAAAAAATATCAGATCTGCCTGGGAATTTAGTCAAAATAGTTATAATATACGAGGAACGAATGTCTTTATAATAGAAGCAGTACAATAGTATGTTCCTTGACCATTTTAATGCCCAATGGACAAAAGGAGAGCATGAATATCACCCTTTCAGTAAGGTAGATAATAAAAGATTAAAAAAAAGGATCAGAGTGAAAGCTCTGCATGAGTGAGTGTGAAAGAGAGAGATTCGAGGTAGGACATAAAGAAGCACATTGATGTATGTGCGTGTGTGACATAGCCTTGTGCACATGCATTGATAGCTGTATGTGTGTCCCAATGTGCCACAAAAAGCCCTGCACACAGAAGTGTGTGTGCTCTAAAGTACAGAGCCCTCTACATCTGTACGCCAATGAGTGTACCCCCATGTAACACACAGGGCTCTGCAACGGAGAGGAAGGCGAGCACCGGAGGAACAGTTGTGCCCTTGCAGGCGATAAGCTCTCTCTGCCACCCGCACCTCCCAAGGAGGAGGGAGTCACCAGGGAGAGAGATGGCACCTGCCGCCCACTTGGCTCACCCCTTTGACAGCAGCTCTGCCAAGCCGACGTACTCCCTTGTAACAACTGACATGACACTGCCAAGGCTCTCCATGAGACATAACAATTCTTCGCTGAGCAAATTTGCATGTGCAAAAAAATAATAATATTTGCACGGAGCCAGAATGCTGCCTTTGTAAAAAGTGGGCAGCAACGGAGGTGGGGGGGCGCCTGGATTTGCCTGGGCATGCCCGTTTTCAGTGTCGACAGGATACGCCATGTGTCACATGCCCTATGATGACGGCAGCGCCCCTTGCAGCAAGGCAAGGAGGCTGCTGATCCCTGGGTGCAGGACAATTGCCGCTCCCCTGCCAGCCACATACAGGCACAGGCTGAAGAGAGAGTAATCTCTCCAG